TTTTGTTCATGGCCAGTGTGCCCCTGAGGGGCTTAGGGACACGTCACAACGTGTTTACTGAGCTTGGGAGAGGGCTAACCTGCTTTGGATATTGACCAAAATACATATTCCAGGTTCGCCAGTCCCTTCTGTTGGTGACAGCTGGAGGGTGAGGAGCACGGGCAGGGGGCAGACAGTACTGAGCCATCTGTAGTAAGAGTTTCTGTTTCAGAGCACTCGATACAACAAATTTTAAGGAAAGTGTAATGCGAGACTTGGCTACCTGTTGAAACGCTTTTGGATTGTTACCCAGAGAGAAGTGTCTCTGCATTTCTTTTGGCAGCTTCGGAAACATATGGCACTTTAGGGGGTGAATAAGTGATTTCTATAGACCATTAATAGTTCCCAAGAAAGAGAACTACAGAGGGGGGGAGGACAAAGAAGGGAGGATATGCACAGAAGTGGAGAGCAGGTAAACCCCCCATGTGGGGCATAAACTAACAGTGAACCCCACAAAATTGCTCCAGGACCCAGGGTTAGCCAGTGTGGTCACCTTTGTTGTGCACTAATCCCCTCTCGGTCCCCAAGGACTCCTGGTTATTTTCATTGTCTGTGGAGCAAAGTCCATCCTACCGAAGGGGCATGCTGACTAGCTGACCTGGGAGGTGACACTTGCAAGACTGCCCAGTCTAGGTGAGTCTCAGTTTGTAGTTTGCCCCTCCATGCTGCTAATCCCTGGTGTCAGGTTGGCTAGAATTTCCCCTCTTTGGATGATCCTATTATCCCTCTGCACCCTCTCAGACAGCAGTGTGTGTATAAAGGTCTTCCCAGGCCCCAGCTGCTAAATGATTAACAGTCAGTTGGATTGGTTAGCAAGGTCAGACTAAATCAGGGACATTTATTTTGTCTGCAAGAGGCTAAGATGCAAGTGGAGAAGAGATTTTCAAGGAAAGAAAGTGCCCAAGGAAAATGGACCAATAGACTTGTTGGGTCGGGAGCTATCTGCAAGGCAGAGCCAGAGGGAGGGAGACAGGAAAGATCTTCCACCCACTGGTTCACTCCTGCAGCACCCACAACACTGCTCATTTCCTGGGCCAAGCCGAAGCCAGGAACCAGGAACTCGGCCTGGCTCTCCCACTGGATGGTAGGGATCCAGCCAGCTGAGCCATCACCTGAGGCCTCCCAGGGTGTGCATTGGCAGGAAGCTGGAACAGGGCAGGGTGCCAGGACTTGCACTCAGATACTCTAATAGCAGAAAGTATCCCAAGCACCTACCTACCTACCTACCTTCCTTCTTTCCTTCCTTCCTTCCTTCCTTCCTTCCTTCCTTCCTTCCTTCCTTCCTTCCTTCCTTCCTTCCTTCCTTCCTTCCTTCCTTCCTTCCTTCCTTCCTTCCTTCCTCCTTCTTTCCTTCCTTCCTTCCTTCCTTCCTTCCTTCCTTCCTTCCTTCCTTCCTTCCTTCCTTCCTTCCTTCCTTCCTTCCTTCCTTCCTTCCTTCCTTCCTTCCTTCCTTCCTTCCTTCCTTCCTTTCCTCCTTCCTTCCTTCCTTCCTTTCCTCCTTCCTTCCTTCCTTCCTTCCTTCCTTCCTTCCTTCCTTCCTTCCTTCCTTCCTTCCTTCCTTCCTTCCCTCCTTCCTTCCTTCCTTTCCTCCTTCCTTCCTTCCTTCCTTCCTTCCTTCCTTCCTTCCTTCTTTCCCTCCTTCCTTCCTTCCTTCCTTCCTTCCTTCCTTCCTTCCTTCCTTCCTTCCTTCCTTCCTTCCTTTCCTCCTTCCTTCCTTCCTTCCTTCCTTCCTTCCTTCCTTCTTTCCTTCCTTCCCTCCTTCTTTCCTTCCTTCCTTCCTTCCTTCCTTCCTTCCTTCCTTCCTTCCTTCCTTCCTTCCTTCCTTCCTTCCTCCTTCCTTCCTTCCTTCCTTCCTTCCTTCCTTCCTTCCTTCCTTTCCTCCTTTCCTCCTTCCTTCCTTCCTTCCTTCCTTCCTTCCTTCCTTCCTTCCTTCCTTCCTTCCTTCCTTCCTTCCTTCCTTCCTTCCTTCCTTCCTTCCTTCCTTCCTTCCTTCCTTCCTTCCCTCCTTCTTTCCCTCCTTCTTTCCCTCCTTCCCTCCTTTCTTTTTTTTAAGGTATGTATTGCCAAGACGGAAAGGAATGGAGGGAGAGAGGGATCTTGGATCTGCTGCTTCACTCCCCAAATGGCTGCAACAGTCAGATGAAGTCCAGGAGCCAGGAACTATCCTGGCCTTCCACGTGGGTGGCAGGGGCCAGAGAGCTCGAGCCGGCATCTGCTGCCTGCCCAGGTGCATCAGCAGGAAGCTGTATCTGAAACCACACAGCCAGGACTCTACCTGGCATGGCTTTGCCCTCTGTCCTGACACTGGCCAAACACCTGACCCATCTAGAGTTTCTTGGCAGAAGAAAACAATAACTGCATAAATACCAAGAGCAACTTCAGCGGGTATTTTATTTTGAGAGATCTTGCACCTACCAGAAGAATGGCAGGACTGTGAGCTTTGACATCAGATTGTCCCAAGTTCAGACTTTCCGAGGCGAGAGGCGCAGCTACTCCCAAACCGCGGTGGCACTGTGGCCCCTTTAGAAATAACACACCGTCTGTGTTTCCCTCAAGTGGTTCTGGGGATTAAATTAGATGCCGTTTAGGAAAGTTAGTGCCTATGAAGCACTTAATAAAGGCAGTTTCCCTTCCTTCTTTCTCTTCTGCTTTTAAAAATTAAGATTTGGGAATACTATAAATAAAACCAAGAATGAAGTGTGTTTTCAGTGTGGAATGTGGGCTGGTTAAAGGAAGAAGGCTCGAGAATGAAGGCTGACATGTGAGACCAAGCCGGAAGTGGGCAGGTTCACCCTTTTTATGCTGATCCAGCAGCTTTTGGAAGGTGCAGGCCCACCCACCAAAAGAAAAAATGATGAAAACTGTTCATTTTATGAAAAAGAAACAAAAAGCTCACAAAAACAGCACCAGAGTTTGGTGGCCAACCATTTCAGGCGCCATGTGAGGAATGGAAACCCAGGAATTTTGGAAATGCTACCCTGTCTTCATTTGCAGTGGTAGAAACCCCAAACTTCCTTCCCGGGTTTGGTGGGGGTTGCCACACTGGGCTTGTTGCCAAGACAAGGGCTGTCTCTGTCCCTTGATTAGTGCTGCCATCTGGTGTCTATATGTGGCTTTGCAGCTTTCCTGAGATTGAATGCAACCTTAGGGACTCTGTGTTTTAGTCTGAGGCTTTCAGGACAAACCAGGGTAAATGAGTTTAAAAGCCTGTTTAGCTGGGGATACGTATTATTTTTGTAGCAATGAAAATTTATTTCCCCTTGCAAAGGAAGCTTTCCAAGAGAGTATTATTGGATATGAAGCTGCAGGCCACTTAAGGGAAATCGGCTTCCCTGCTGAGACTCCCATCTTCTCCTAATCTGTTTTCTGCTGTTTTGAGGATTCACAGTGAAGACACCACTATCAGATTGCAGCTCCTTAGGCTCTTAGTAAAACGCTGGGGGAAAACCAGGCAGACTCCTTTGCTCAATACTTGCAGTCTCCTTGCTTTGTAAAATTGCTCCTGCTGTTCCTCTTTTGCTGCTGTGGAGACGCTTGCTAGCAATGTTCTCTGGGATGGTTGGGAAGAAGGCCAGGATTTGAAGATGTGGAGGTGGTGGGGACCCAGTCTCGGAGATGCTTGTGGCTACCGTGGAAAATGCAGCGTTGTAGAACAGTTGAAGTATGCGCCAAGAACGGTGGTGACAGGCTCCCTTCTGGTATGAGTGTGGCCAGGGAATCCAGGGGAGGGAGGAAAAATCTGGCAGGATGGGCGTCTGAAATGCCAGGTATAGTAGGTGGGTGTCCTGAGCAGGGTACAGGGCAGCATTGGCATGGAGGTCCAAGAAGGCCCTGATGCCCTACACCTGCTGTGGTCATGGCTGCACTTTGCACACCTTCATCCCTCACCTAACAACTGGTGGAAGAAACAGAGAGGCAGGTGCAGAGGACCTGGCACAACACAGGGACCCGATGCAGGATGGCTGGGGACCCTGAATGTGCTGGGGGGCCTTGGTCTGCTGAATGCTGGGTGTTGTAGTCCTTTGGCTACCTGGGAACAGGTGCAGGGAGCAGCAGGGAGGTCACCTCGTGAGAGGTCTGCCCCCAGAGTCGTGTTCAGAGTCTTGCACCAGCAAACTTTGTGGCCATGACGCAATCACTGAGCACTCAGCCCAGCATTAGTGTCATCAAGGGCAAAATCAGGCCGTGGCATGATTCGTTCCATGCTGTTTGTGTGGCTTTGCACTCAGCTGAGCCCGAGAGTCTGTGTGGAGCCAACAGCTGCACTCCGAGTTTGCCTGGTGATAAGGTCTCTTGGCTGTTCATCTGTGGAAGCAGTTCCTGGGTGTGTGTGTACCTGAGTGTGTGTGCACCTGGGGTGTGTGTGTGTGTGTGAGTAGTTAGGTGCAACTCAGAGATTATGTGCAGCAGGATGTGCAGCAAAACATGGATGTAGCTCCCAGGGATAATCATGAGGAAGTTGTTGAATTGGAAATACTGTAAGAAAACCCTGTGTGACTTCTAAGCATGTTAAACATTGTATATATTCAGTCATTTGAGTGACAGAGAGCTAGAGCTTCCATCTGCTGCTCCCTCTGTGATACCTGCAATGAGCTGGGTGGGGCCGGGGCCTGGAGAGCTTGCAGCAGGGACTGCAACCAAGGCCTCCGTGAGCAGGGCAAGGAATGCGTCACCCGAGCGCCGCCTCCCAGGGTCAGCGTCGCCAGGAAGCTGGAGCTGGATAATGAATAGACTAACATTTAGTGACAGAGTAAAACTTACATTGTACGAAGTGAAAATTCAGTTTGCCAAGCAGTGACCCCATTTCTGCTGGGCTGAAAAGTGTGTAAATGCACATGTGGAAGAAAGCATGCACTGTTCTTTGGGAAATGCAGGTTTCTCTGGAAGCCAGGTGCGTGAGTGAATTGGTTTTCTTATCAGTATTTTCCCAGTGTCCTGCTTGGAACAGGCATTAATTTTGTCAAAAACCAATGGACAAAAAATGGTGGGTGCTGATGTTTGGCTCAGTTGTTAGAAAAAGTGGCAAAGGTAATTTGAAAATGTGGCATATGTCCTGCGGGACACTCCCAGAACCCTGCTGTGTGCAGAACTGTGTCCTTAAAGCTTGCTGATTGCTGTCAGTGATGAAGAACTTAAAAATGTCTCCTTTTTGTTCCCACCAGGAGAGGCAGCAGCATGGCCAGCGTGCTGTCCCGGCGTCTAGGCAAGCGTTCTCTCCTGGGAGCACGGGTGTTGGGACCCAGTGCCTCGGATGGGCTGTCTGGGTCAGGGCTGCCCTCGGAGTCGCAGGGGGAGCCTCTGGAGGGGGCTGCTGCTCAGCCCTTCCTGACCACAAAGGATGCTTCCTGCCAGGAGCAGCCCAAGGACGTCCTCAAGACCCCTTGCAGCTCTGGCCTGCAGCAGATGGTCTTTCAGCCTGGGCAGAAGGTAGGTCTATCCCCGTGTGGACAGGAGTACCAGCTCCAGAAGCTTGGGGTGGGCAGGCCTTGGGGTGCCTCAAGTGATGGGCTGGAGACCCTCCTGGCACTGCCTGGGGCAGCAGGTTGCTGGGAGAAATTGCCATGCCCGACCCCCACCGCTTGCTGCTCTTGAGGCCCTGGAGGAGAAGGTGGCCCAGACCTCAGTTGGAAGCCCAGCCTTAAGTCTGTATCTTTCGATTTGCTCAGTTTGTCACTTTTCAAAACAAGATTGAACGCCTCCGGCTTGCAGAACTCAGAGGAGTGGACATCTCTGAATTAGCATCGTATGCTTCCTAGAGGTGAAGGTGTCTGCTCAGGAAGGATTCAGTGTGCGTTTTCTTCCCCAGCGTTTGCTGTCTTGTGACATCGGGGCCTGAGGCTCTCTGCTGGGTCTCGGTGTACAGGGTTTTCTTTTGTTGCCTTCTCAAGGACCCCAGGCGTAGAGACCTTCTGTCTTCCACATGGCCTACACTGCCTGGGTCCCTCTCCTCATAAGAAAAGGCCATCGGCCACCTTGCCCAGCACCCCTCTATTGAGGCCAGCCTGCCTCTGTCCCCTACCTGCTTGCTCCCAGCAGACTCAGAATTCTCTGGAGGGACAGGTGCAGGGCATGAGAGGTTCAAGGTGAAGGTTGTGCACCAGCAAACATCCAGGGCTTCAGAGGCCAAGCAGAACAGGAAAACATGAAGATGGACACAGATCACGCAGTCAGAGGAAATCGCAGAGGCTGGCACGATCTCCATCTCCCAGCCTTTGTAGTTTGTAAGGACCCTGTCGTGGAAGAATGGACACAGTGTAACTGTTCTGGGTGGTCAAGTGGGAAGTATGTTCTTTTTTTTTTTAATGTTTAAAGATTTATTTATTTATTATTGGAAAGGCAGATTTACAGAGAAGGAGAGAGACAGGTCTTCCATGTGCTAGTTCACTCCCCATATGACTGCAACAAGTACTGGTCCAAAGCCATGAGCCTAGAGCCTTTTCTGGGTCTCCTACATGGGTGTAGGGTCCTAAGGACTTGGGCCATCCTTTGCTGCTTTCCCAGACCATAAGCAGAGAGCTGGATCAGAAGTGGAACAGCTGGGACATGAAACAGGCTTAGCTTGCTGTGCCACAGTGGCAGCCCTGGGAGTTGTCTGTTCTTACTGCATTTGCTGCTGCTGTAATAATACCTGAGATTTCATTGCTTATAAAAAATAGTCTATTTGGCTCATGGTTCCAGGTGTGGGGTTATCCAAGAGCACGGTGCTGGCCATCCAGTGGGGACTAACCCATTGCTGCAATAATGGCTGTAATCTGCTCACCAAGAGCAATGTCTTCAAGGACAGCATCCTGCTCAGTAGGCCCCACCTGTCGGTGCTGTCACTTTGAAGGTTGTCTTTCTAGCACACTTCGGGGGGAGCCTTTGGTGTCACAGTGTGCCCAAACTAAGGACTCATGAGTCAGAGTGTACAGGCAGATCCCAACCCCTATGAGGGACTTGGGGCACTGCGGAGCTCTGGGGCGAGGATAGCCAAGCTCTGACTGCTGGATGCCATGTCTTGCCCACCCCCAGGTTTCTGTGTGGTACGGGGGTCAGGAGTGCCCAGCACTGGTGGAGCAGCATAGCTGGGCAGAGGACAAGGTGACCGTGTGGCTGCTCGACCAGAAGGCCCAGATCTACTGCAAGGCGGAAGAAGTGTGGCTGGCAGAACTGCAGGGCCCCGTGCCCCAGGCACCTCCCTTGGAGCCCAGAGCCCAGGCTGCTGCCTACAGGCCTGTTTCCAGGAACATCGATGTACCCAAGAGGTTTGTGTGGGGGAACCTGGGCTTTGGAAACCGTCGGGGTGGTGGGGCGTGGGCATGCAGGCTGCCTCATGACGGCAAAGCGTGGGGAGATCCAGGGATACTGAATTGTCAAGATGTTGGACACATGAGGTCCAGGTGAGGGGGCATGCCTGCGGAAAGAGTGACCAATTTTTGGTTTCATGAACGGCTACATATTCTCCCTTTCATGTTTATACTAAAAACAAGCTCATAATCCTTTACAATAAGGCAAAGGAAGATGTGGCTCGGCTTGTGACTCAGGGCACCTGCTTGGAATGGGCCAGTTAGGAAGCAGTTTCAGGGGAGAGGGGCAACCAGGCTCCATCACAGCCACTCAGCTCTGTGATGGGGACGTCACCACAGTCACAGACGAGATGCAAGCCACTGTGCTCCACCGAGACTCTCCTCATGGACCCTCCAATCTCATGTAATTTTCATGAGTTGCATGTCAAGAAATAGTACTCTTCTTTGCTCTGCGGAAACCATTTAAAGTTGGAAAAAGAAACCATTCTTAATTTGCAAGTTTATACAAAAATTGGCGGCTGGCTCTGTTTGGCTCACAGCCCTCAGAACACTGCCCCCACCACCCCTTGGCATCATTGGTGTCTAATGAAGAGTGTACGTTGGCCTTAGAATTGGTGATGCAACTTTCTCCAAGAACACATAGCGTTATTTCTTGGTTACAGGCTGTGCGCACACTTATAAAGATTTAAAATAAAAATCTGGCAACCAGGATAGTCTTCTGTACAAAAGTATGCAAGCAGCCAAGCTCTGTTTGGCCTGACCGTGTCCATTTGTAGGTACTGCTGCTATTGACCGCAGAACCCGGTTCTTTGAGAACAGATCAGAGCAGCCGTACCTGTGATTGTGTAGTCTGTGGAACACCAGTGAAAAATCTGTTTTTCCATGCTACTGAAATGAGAATTCAAAGACCAGACAAAAATGGAGATGTTCACATGTTTCCTTTTTTAATGACTTTGGTTTACTGGCCTCAAACATAGTCTCAGATTTTAGTGGACTTGAATGGTAAGGGATGAAATAATGCCAGGGTCCTTCCAAAGATCCATGGAGAAGTGGCTGTTGGGCTCAGTGGTGACACGCTGGTTGAGCGGCCTATTTTCCACCTCTGGAGTACTTGGGTTCAATACCCAGCCCCAGCGCCTGACTCCAGCTGCCTGCTAATGCTGACCCTGGGTGGCAGCGTGCAGTGATGGCTCTGGCACTTGTTTCCTGGCACCCACCACGGTCAGTTAGGATTGAGGTCTCAGCTCCATGTTGAGCCTCAGCCCCGCCCCGAGCAGTGCAGACCATATGGGGAATCTGTGTGTATGTGTAGCGGGCTACGGGATCTTTGCATTTGTCTTTCGACCTGCCTTCCCCCCACTCCCTCTCCCCCCCAAAAAAAGTACCTTCATAGAAAACACATGATTTGCAAGCCCATGTGTATGGATTTCAAATTTTTTTGCACTGCAGTAAAACTTAATTCCATTTCCAGATTTTTTTCAAGTATCATTTATAGAGTCCTTTGAAATAGACAAGCCACCCAGAAGTGTATTTCAGATGAATTTTTCCTGATATTTGAGCATTGACTTACAGACAGCTCTATTGTACTTCCAAATTATGTAATTGTATGTGAATTTAAAAAAAATATGTAAAATTTTATAGAACTCTGCTCCTCTAGGCGTTGGGATTTATTTTAGGGTTTTGGGTTTTATTTGCTCATTGGCTTATGTAATGGGTTCTGTTGACATTCGGAAACTGACACTGCCTTATTTATCTTGGAGGAGAAGCGGTTAGTGTAATTGTTCCTCCCTAACTTTAAATATAAGCTGGGAAAGGAGGTAATTGTGGTGCATTTGAATTCCAGTGGGCTACCTTTTACCCCTGTACTCCTTTTTTTGTTTGTTTGTTTTGTTTCGTTTTTTCAATTGTTTTGACTCTTCTCCCTTGGCCCCATATAAAATCCTCCTTTTTAAGCTGAAGTGGAGTCTGGGTGAGTGGTGTTGCCGCAGTGGGTGAGCGGTGGTGGTGGTGGGAAGGGGGATCCACGTGCTTCGCCCTGCGTTTCTCAGCCCTGTAAGCAACACTCTGCATGAGTGTTCTTCATGAAGAATGAGGAGAGGCATCGTGCTTCACTCACTGCCATGATGCAGCCACTGGCTGAGTGGACGCGGGGGCTTGGAGGATTGGGGCAGAGTTATAAAATCACCCCACGAGGGGACCCAGGCCTGCCGTCCTAGGCAGTAAGCTCCCCTTCCCTGGGTTTTTATGTAGGAAGTCGGAGGCGATGGAGATGGACGAGATGATGGCGGCCATGGTGCTGACCTCGCTGTCCTGCAGCCCGGCAGTGCAGAGCCCCCCGGGGGCTGAGACCAATTTTGCAGGTAAGCACACAGGGCCCTGAAGGGTTCTGGGAGAGCCGGAAACTCCTGGACCAACACCTCCTGTTCCTGGGAGCAGCTCATTGCCAGGTGCACTGGCCCTGGCTAGAGGCTTTCTGCCGCTGGCAGAAGGCTGCTGAGCTCATGGCTGCCATTCTTGTTCCATGGTTTCTGATCTGGGGAAAGAGAGGCTTGTTGGTACAGTGTGAATTTGGTGGGGTACGAGGCCCAGCCACAGTGACTGCTCAAGGAAATCCTTGAAGGAGAGGGTGAGTGAGTGAGTGAGTGAGTGGTGGGGGTCTACACAGGCCAGGAGGGGAATATTTAGTTGGCCATGGTGGATATAGGCTACATGGTTCCTTTGTGGCTGGGAAACTTGTGCCCCCGGTCTGGCCTTGTAAGTTAGCACGGGCCTAGAGGCCACCAGAAATAGATGAGCTAATGTCTACAATGTGATGGCTTCATCCACACCAAGGCATAAGTATCCAGAACCGCAAAATTCTTGTGGTTGTGACCTCAACACACCTGATCAATAATGTAGAAGGAAGAAAGGGTGCTGGGTGCCAGCAGCTTGACAAGGCTGGTGGTAAACCTGAAGTTTCCTCTGGAAATTTGTTAGCGGGTTGGCCTGCCTATCTCCCAGGGAAGAATTCTGCCACTGGTGAAACCCTACTGAATTAGAAGCCAATCCAAAGCTCATAGGACAATGTGGACTTAGCTCTGGACATGTACTAGGAGTGGCCTTTATAAGTAGTGGCGCTGCAAGCTAACCCTCCACCCTATGGTGCTGGTATCCCCTATGGGCACTGGTTCATGTCCCAGCTGATCTGCTTCCAATCCAGTTGCCTGCTTATGTCCTGAGTAAGCAGCAGAGGATGGCCTAGGTCCTTAGGACCCTGCATCCACATGGGAGACCCAGAAGAGGCCACTGGCTCCCAGCTTTGGATCAGCTCAGCTCAGCTCTGGTCCTTGTGTTCATTTGGAAAGGGAACCAGAAGATGGAAGAGGGCCTTTTTTTTTTTCTCCCCGTAAAACTTGCCTTTCAAATAAAAAAAATAAATCTTCCAAGTGTGGCCCGTAAGGGATCTCCCACCTAGACAGAAAGTGAATATAAAGGAAGGAGAAAGAAACCTTAGGTGCTTCACCCAAGGCTGTGGTCAGCCAGCAGGCCGCTGAGGAAGGACCTTGTGCTTGGAGGACACCCAGCTGTGGAGCCTGGTGGTCCATGCCTGCTGTCTTAGCACAAGCCAAGGTGGGGAAGAGGGTTGGGGTCCCTTTTAAGTTCTCAGGAAACGCTGCAGGTTTGGGAGGTTCTGGAGGCTGGACCAACAGGAGGAAAGTTCAAGGAAATGTCCCAAAGGAAAATAAATAAATGACCCCAGTTCCCTCATCAGAAGTGTGAGCATACATATATGTATGTATATGTCTGTCATGGGCACATGTATGCATGCTTACATGCTAGCACAGTGCATCTCATGCAGTGTCACAATCTGAGTCCTTAGGTTTTTTTTTGACAAAATTTTTCATTATCTGCTAAGGACTTTTTCAGTTACATTTTGACTTGATCATTGAAATCAACGGAAAAAATAAGGAATTCTTGGCAGGAAATTATCTTTATTCTGCAAATTGAGGTGTACATAAGAGCCTAACTTGGCTCTATTATGAATTTCTACTTGCACAAGCTACCTCGTCCCTCTGGTCTGTGTATCAGGATGGTGTGGTTCTCTGAGTTGTGTGTGTGTGTGTGTGTATAGGGCACAGGTGATTCTAAGTGTCTCTGAAATGGTCATCCATAAATTCTGACCGTTACTCATTTACCCAGGAGTACTTTGTGTTTTTGCAATCCAGACTCTATCCTAGGAGAACTGAAGATCAAAGGAAAAACCACTTGTCATTCAGCATAAGACATTACCTTTTTGCTTTGTTTTCGGTTTTTCTTCTGTTGAATGCCAAGCTGTAGGTTGGGGCATCTGAGCCACTGGAAGTGGTTCCTGTGGGGAAGGGCTGTTGTGTTCTGGAGGCTGGCTTGCAGGTTGACCTGTCATTTGTCCCCAGAGGAGTTTTCTGTGTGGATACGTGTGTCACCCTTCACCTGATGGCCTGCTGGTGGATCCTGAGGTTTTGCCTGAATGTCCGCTCTGTTTTAAGCCCCACGGGTAGATGTCGTGACCTTATGCTCTCTAGGAAATGGACGTGATGGCTGTTGGAATGGAGTGATATATGGGAGGGAAGAATTCTTCTTCCATTTTCTTCTGTGTGGGGCAGGGAGGGGCTTCTCCTGGGAGTAGAGACCTAAGGAGAGACAGGATTGGAAACATGGGAAATTGGCAGTCTGTCCTGGAAATCTGTATTAGCATGGAAGCAATTTGGGCAATAGTGAACAGGAGGAGAGAATGACAGGGGGATGGCTGGTGTGGCTTCGACAGAAAATACTTCCTGGGGCAGAGCCATCCCAGCAGCAGAAGTCGCTGTGATCAGCGGATCTGCTCCCTGTTTATTATCGCAAGCTCCAAGGAGGGAGTTTTTTTTTTTATGCCCCATCTGGGGGGACAATCCCATGAGTGGCCTCTTCCCTCTGTCCTGCTAGTGTCCCGTGCAGCCTGCGACCCGTGGAAGGAGAGCGGAGACGTGTCAGACAGTGGCAGCAGCACCACCAGTGGGCACTGGAGTGGGGGCAGTGGCATCTCCACCCCCTCACCTCCTCACCCTCAGGCAAGCCCCAAGTACCTGGGAGATGCCTTCGGCTCCCCTCAAACCGATCATGGCTTTGAGACCGATTCCGACCCTTTCCTGCTGGATGAACCAGCTCCGCGCAAAAGAAAGGTATGTGAACGGGGTGAGTGAGAGCCATCCTCAGGGCAACTCTGAGGGCCTAAGTGTTGGTGGGCTGCCCCCTTCCCACCCTACCCCTATCCCAATTTGTTTGGTGTTCATGGTGTTCATGCCTTGTGACAGTCCCCGGAGCCCACTCCCCCTCCTTGATGCCAGACCCTGCCTTCCTTTTTAGGCTCCTGCACACACCCGGTGGCTTAGCCGTAGCACCAGCAGCCTAGTAGGCCGCTGAGGACCATCTCTTAGGTGTGGGCAGGCCTGAAGGCCTGTGGGCATGGTTGCCTGTTTCTCAGCTCCTGGAGACCCCCTTCCCCAGGGCTTTTGTTGGGTCAGTCAGAGGACAGAGCAGCAGTTGGCATTGCTGGTATTTAAAGGTAGGAGATGAAGGAGAAGGACACAGCCCAATCACCCAGTCTTCCTTTTCCCTCAGAACTCCGTGAAGGTCATGTACAAGTGCCTGTGGCCCAACTGTGGCAAGGTTCTGCGCTCCATCGTGGGCATCAAGCGACATGTCAAAGCCCTCCACCTGGGGTATGTATGGAGGCTGGGGCCTCAGTCCTTTGATCACAGATGAGACCCATAGTGCAGTGTGTGGGAGGTGACCAAGTCCTGAACTTGCCTATGCTTTGGGAGCTGGTTTTCAGTTAGAACCTACTCTGGCCTCCAAGTGCCAGGACCGTTTGTGTCTGTGCAGAGCTGGGTGGCTGCTTGTGGCGGAGGGAACATGCCGTAGCCAGGTCGGGCCTGGAGTGTTGGTGGCAGTGCTGCGTTGGTGCCTCCTGCCAGAGGGGAGGTCTGTCGTGTCCTGGGAAAGGCCAAGTCTCTACGCTAGAAGCAGCAGTTCCTGTGGATGGGCGAGCCTGTCATCCTGCATGAAGAGGGGCTTCACTGACTTGCCCTGTGCAGGTCCTTCCTTCTAGCAGCACGGTTTTGCTCAGCAGTAATTTCCTCTGCTCCCCCGCACAGGGACACTGTGGACTCGGACCAGTTCAAACGGGAAGAAGATTTCTACTACACAGAGGTGCAGGTGAAGGAAGAATCGGCTGCTGCCACTGCAGCTGGCCCCCTTGCCCCTGGCACTGCCACTGCCGACCCAGTCCCCACCCCCACCATGACCAGCTCAGCCCTTGCCGTTCTGCCGCCACCTCCACCCAAAGTTCAGTCCTGCCGCCTGGAACACCCTGGCCTGGAGTCTTCCCTGCCCTCAGGTGCACTCAGCAAGTCAGCTCCAGGCTCCTTCTGGCACATCCAGGCTGACCATGCGTATCAGGTATGCAGTGGTGGAGGCAGTGCTCAGGGGCCAGCCTGTGATCTGGGTTGTCATTGGCCAGCCAGATCACAGGCTCCAACCCCCTCCTGACTGAAGCTCTTTGGCCCAATTGCTAGTCTCCTTTATAAAAACAGAAAAGGAAACTTAGAGTTCTCCACTGGTGCTGGCTGCTGTGGTGGTGACTGCAAAGCTAGCTGAATCCCTCAGTAACCGGCTTGATGGATCTTGTTCGGAAATGGTGGTCCTGATGCTTATAAAAGGTGGTGACACAGTGCCAGTGGGGCCTCCCAGGGTGAACCTCTTGTGCTCCTTGAATTGCGTGACAGTGGCAATCAGTCCAGTGCTGATGTTTTGCTTAGCACTGGGCCCAGTGAGCTTTTCAGATAGAATAGGACCTTGGCCCTGCTCTTGGGGAGTACATGATACTGCTGAATGAGGAGCAAGAGTGTAACTCTGGCCAGTTATGATAAATGGTCCCAGTGCTGTTGCTGGAGCCATGAGAACAGGTTGTAGGTACAGGGAGGACCAAGCCATAGTGCCTGTGTCCTTGGCCATAGCTGTGGAAAAGGAGATGGTACGAAAGTCCTTCCTGCATGGAGCAGGTACTCGATGAGTGTGTAGCTTGCTGGATATGAGTTTTTCTTAAAATCTTTTTTTTTCCTGGGCCAATCTGTGGATTAATACCAAACCACTAGAGGGTGTGGCTCTTAGCTGTTTCATGTTTGACCAACATCCAGTTGTTTTGTCTCCCCTGTGGAGCCTAGTCAGAGTGGCTGGTGGTTTTCTTCAAGATTTATTTTAAAAGATTTACAGAGAGATGGAGAGGGGAGAGAGAGAGATCTTCTCTCTTTTGGTTCACTCCCATGCTGGCCACCAGTCAGGGCTGGACCTGGCAGAAGCCAGAAACCAGGAGCTTCATCCAGATTTTCCATATAGGTATCAGGAGCCCAAGCACTTGGGCCATCTTCTGCTTTTTCCCAGGCCATTAACATGGAGCTAGAATAGAAGTGGAATAGCTGGGACTCCCCTCATTCTGTCACAGGTGATGGCTTTACTTACTATGCCACAATACCAGCTCTGTGGCTTGGCAATTGTACAGAGATCTAAACCTGTGTGTACACCAGTGTGCTGCTATTTCCAAGCAGTTGCCTGGGGATGCTGCATCTCACTCCCACAGAACCACAGCTCAGGAGGCTTGTGGACTTCTCTGAGTACTGCCTGCAGCAGCATCTTGGTGGGTGCTCCAGCCAGGGAAGTCAGTTTGCGGTGATTAACTGTTGAGGCTGGCCCATAAACCCACTCTGAGTGGAGGGTTCTGGCATGAGGTTGGATCCTGACAATGGAGGTTGCCTGGAAGCACTGGGTGGCTGGCGTGGCTTTGTATTTCACAGTCTTGTCACATAGGTAGAGGAAAGAGGGGCACCTTCTGTAAGAGGTCAGCTCATGCAGGTTACATGTGTCCCAGGTCTGATGCCCAAGCTGATGCCCAGTCTTGTCTCCGCAGGCTCTGCCGTCCTTCCAGATCCCGGTCTCCCCACACATCTACACCAGCATCAGCTGGGCTGCGGCCCCTTCCACCACTTCTTCCTTTTCTCCGGTGAGCATGCCTAGCCCCATGCACAGCAGCACTCCCAGGGCCCTGATGCAAGCCCAGGGCTCTTGTATCCATCCCCAGGCTGGGAGTCAGCTCTGGGGTGTCTGGCTTGGGTCTGGTGTTTCTGACCTGCCTCCAGCTCCTCTGCCCTTGCCCTGCCCCAGGCTTCTTGCTCTGCAGCTGGTCACAGCCTCTCTCTGAAGGAGAGAAGTGGGTGCTTGCATAGGAGGGCCTATCTCACGCAGATTTCTTGGCCAAGAAAATCACCCGATGAAGCTGGGGTCAACACCCTGTTTAGCCCCAGATGCCCATGGGAAGAGAAAGAATACAGCTTGGAGAGGATGAGAGAGAAGAAGGTGGGGGTGGAAATCTGGGCCACAGTGGACCAATGGCTCATGTGGCTTGACCTGAATTAAAATAATTCAGAAGTCATTTGGAACCATATGTAGTGGGCTCCCAGTCTTAAATAACTGGCACAGGAGGTATCACACATTGTAAGCTCCACTTGTTGGACGGTACCATTGAGGCAGTTCATTGCCTCCTCCATCTCAGGTGCAGTGGCTTTGTTCAAGTCCTCTGTAGAAAGTGAGCCTATAGGAGGCCTAGTCAGGTGGGCCTGCTGCCTTGGCGCCTGCCGGACTAGAGCGTGGCTTACAGCCTACTCCTTACTCTGGCCCCCCTGCTACCCCAGCCCCTGGTGCTGAGAGATCAGCTCCACCTGGATGGAGTAGGTCACCCCGGCGCTCAAAGCACAGCCGCTAGCAGATGCTCTCCTGCTCATGGCCTGGCCGGCCCCCTGTCTCCCCACACAGGTCCGGAGCCGATCGCTGAGCTTCAGCGAGCCACAGCAGCCACCACCCGCGGCAAAATCTCACCTGATCGTCACATCTCCGCCCCGGGCCCAGAGCAGCACCAGGTGAAATGGGTGCCACCATGCCATGCCTTCCCTTCTGGGACCCTGTTTCCTTGTCACCACTGACAGTGGGGGCTCCGGGTCCACCCGCCTGTAGTTCCAGGGTTAGTCCCCTAAGGGGAGTCTGGAATCTGCACAGGATGGGGTGGCATCTCCTCTGAGCCTCTGGCCTCTGGCCTCTGGAGGGTGGGCGGCAGGGGTCCTGTCTTTGCAGCCTCACTTTGGCTGCCATCCTAGGTGCCGGTGACAGCAGCACGTGGTTCTGACTGTGTTTCTCTTGGTCGGCAGGAAAGCCCGTGGGGAGGCCAAGAAGTGCCGCAAGGTATATGGCATCGAGCACCGGGACCAGTGGTGCACGGCCTGCCGGTGGAAGAAAGCCTGCCAGCGCTTCCTGGACTGAGCCTGGCCACAGAGTGCCCCGTGTCCCCACTGCTCCCCGGCCCGGGCCCACCCCCATCCCCACAAGAGGCACCCCCTGTATCTCAAGCCCAAAGCAGCAAGCGCCCCATAAGATGCAGTGTACATGTGGACTGGAGGACCTTTTTTGGCTAAGCTGTAATGCTGAAAACACTGTCTCCCTGCCTTGTGGGAACATTTTATTTTTTTAAAAACAAAAAAAGAAAGGAAAATATTTTTTTCCCCCTTGAGTAGGAGAGAGCCAAAACTGACCAAGGGCGTTCTCAGCAAACCAGAGACCAAAGAATTCCCTGCCCTCCTGTCCCTCAGCACCTGCCCCTCAGGGGGCTGTGCCTGCGCGTCTCAGAGGAACCAGCCAGCGGCTTTTTTGTTTCCTGCTTGGTGGAGTGCATTCTTCTCTCTCTCAACTCTTCCAGAAAGGACTGTGAGCAAGATGAACTTACTTTCCTTAGGCAAAAACATATGGCGTTGTGGCTGATGGACAATTCAGAGAGCGTGGGGTGTGAGTGGGTGCTGCCCGGATCCTTCTAGGGGAGGAGTGGTGAGTGGGCAGCTGTGTCCTTCCTCCACACTTGGAGCAGCTTCCAAGGAAGGAGCAGGGAGGACCCTCTTTTTTGGTGACAGCTGGATTGCATCCCGGCAGTCATAGGCTTGCTTCTTAAAGCCCAGGCGAATAGGGTTTTTGAAGACTATCCCTGTACCAAGTTCCTGAGCCAAAAGGCTTGGGAGAATTCATTTCCTGAGACGTGGCTAGTTCAGCACTATCTGACCTTCTCTTTTGCCGTGAGGAGGTCCTGGAGGGTTTGTGGGTGGGTGACAACTCTTCTCTTACCTGAGTCAGCCCCCACTCCCCCTAAACCTCAGGACTGGCCCCTATCTCTCCCAAGGCTGCGGAAACACTGCGTCTGGGAGCCTCTGCTGGTCCAAGGTCCCTGTTAACGTGGTGGTCCTCAGAGACCCCAGCAGATGCCCTTGTGTCTCCTGGCTTCACCAGGTAGCCCTGCACCTGAAGTCAAGAGGAGGATTGAAGAGCCCTTGTGGTCGAGGGTCAGGCTGTAGCAGTCCCACCTGGAAGATGTGGAGAGTTTTGGGGGAGCTGCTGCTTTGGCCCTGGCAGTTTTTGGACACTACTGGAATTGGGCAGCTGGGGCAGGAAGAAATAACCAGGCTGCCTTGAGGTTAGTCAGCAGAGCTGTTCTTGCTGGGGAGGATGGAGAGGTAGGGAGTTTTGGGCCAGGCCAGCTACTGATGTGGAAAGACGAAGTGAGCCGAGGGCAGGGCACGTGTGTCTGTCTTGAGGCCACACATCTCTCCTAAGTGGGACTAGTTTGGGAGCGTCTCTGCCTGTTTGAGTGTAGCTGTTGAATACGCAGCTGCCTTATGTGTGAGTCCTGGGCCAATATCCCAGATACCAGGGCTCAGGGGGTTCACCAGGCCAGCTCTCTGGAGTCTGAGGGGCAGCATCTACCCCATGGTGGTCATCATGCAGGCAGCCTTGCTGGTGAAGACACCAAGCCACTGAGGTTCCATTGGTGACCTCGGGGGGGAAATATTGCAAGGAGACTTCAAGAAGTTCATGCGAAGTGGAGTTTAAATGGATCACTTACTTTTTTGAGAATGTTCTCAAAGTCCTGTGTCAGTGTAAGCTAGAGTGTCATAAAAACCGCAAGGCTTGGTGCTTGATGGATGCAGTGACCTGGCACATTCTTACATTTGGCCATCTTTGGTGGGGAGGGATGTATTTTTTGAATTGGTCATAAATGTGTGTGTGTGTGTGTGTGTGTGTGTGTGTGTATGTATGAGTCTAATTCTGTCTCTTGAAAAGCTCATCACCAGACTAGCTGGAGGTGGTGTTGGGCTAATGCTTTGGCTTGTCTCGCATCCCATTCTTTGTAACCGCATTCAGATCTTTCCAGTGTGGGCTCGGCCCAGGAAGATCTTCCCTTCCCACTCTAATCAGAGTTCTCACCAAGTCTCTTCTTTAGCAAAGCTGTCTTGGCCTCCCCCCCTCCAAACCCCTACCCAAATTCTCCAGTGTCTACACCATGCAGATAACCTAACCTGGATATAAAGATGTTCTCCATGTGAGGTGGGCTTCTCAAGCCCTCAGTCTCCAGGGCAGAAAGGGAAGGGAGAAAGAAGGAGCTGATGGGATGGTTTAAAAACCAAGGGGGTCCTGCTTCTACTTCTGTTCTGTTTAGTTTGCAGCTTCCTCGTCTGCATTTGCTCCCCGCTCCCGTCCAAATGGCCTTCCCCACCATCCACACATGGTGTGTGGGTCCCCAGCCTGTGACCTACCCTCGAGGTAGTTTGCTGCGTTTGTGTCTGCTCCTGCCAGTGTGGGGGTGTGTGTGTGCAGTGACCCAGTGCTGGTACTTGGTTTCTTCATTGCTGTGTTTGCCTACTTGGCCGGCCTGCCCAGGGGAACAGATCTGACGGGGCGTGGGGGAAGACACCACAGAGTTGCTTGGGAAATCTAGCAGGACTGAGTGACCAGACTTGCCAGAAAGTTTCCTGGGATGGCGTGGAGAGTCTGTGGAGGCCCCCTGAGGCTCCATCTGCACTCATGCTCGCTCAGCACTCAGAGTGTGGTGGCCGGTGTTTGGTCAGGCAAGGGCTTGGGTTTGTCAAGCAGAAGGCTGCCTGAGAAACACAGCTCTGCTGGGATGACATGATTTTTAAATGGGCTCAAAAAGCCAGGTTGCAACCTCAGAGAGTGTTATGAGTGAAGGCTGCATTGTAGGCTGCATTGTGGAACATTGTTGATGGACTCAGTGGCTGGCAAGACTAATAGGGATATAGAAAGTCTGATTGGTTGGGAGAAATCTGTTCTGTTACTTTTTATTTCTGGTCATCCAGGTTCTGACTTTACCAGAGATGGAAAAAGGAAAAAAAAAAAAAAAAAAGAAGAGGAAGCTAGATCCTGCCTGTGAATTTGTCTTACTGGTACCTTCCCCTCCCACTGTGCCCCAGCTGTCTTCCAAGTATTATTTTTACTGTTCAAAATTTTTAAAAAAGAAATGTGAAATGTAATGTTTTTACAGCAACAATATGAAATATATTTTATAAAGAATAAAATGATACATTGTCTGATTTAATGTGTGCCTGTCCCTCTGCCTAGCTCCTTGCAGTGAGGTTGGCGTTGTCTTTGGAGGTCAACAGGTGTTAGTGAGTTACAGTGGCCAGAGCCTATGCTGTCATTTGCTTACAAGGACAGGTTATGTCTGTCAGGGACCAGGTTAGATGCTTACGTGGGTTGCCTGCTCTCTGGGAGGAAGTGATTCTGTTACCTTTAGGCAGATGAAGGAATGTTGGAGGGTAAGTATCTTGCCTCCCATCATAAACTAAGAAATTATGGCACTGGGATTGCAGCCCAGGCATTTTCTATGTATGCCTCTTGTTTTAAAATCTGATTTTATTTTATTTGAAAGGGGCACACTGGCACACACATACAAACATACATCATCATCATCTTCTTCATCTGTCTGCTAGTTCACTCCTCAAATGCATGCAACAGTTTGGGCTGTATCAGGTTGAAACCCAGAACTCAATTCCAGTCTTCATGTGAATTGCAGGGCCTGAGTAGCTGAGAGGTCACCATTGGCTCCCGGGGTTCATTTCAGTAGGAAACTGGGAATGGAAGCAGAGTTGTGGGGTGCAGGCATCTAGAACTGCGTCTCAACTTCTGTGCCAGATACCCTCACCCTGTGTGTGTTGGCAAAGGGTGGTATATTTTTGGCTGTATTCCCGTGTTTGCTGGAAAGTGGGCAAAGTGACTTAGGAAGTCAAATTACATTTTATGTTTATGGAATAGGCCCTGGGTATGGATCTGTCCTCTGCAGATATTAATTGTACGAATGTTATGGCCCACACAGTATTAGTGAAGCTAGCCTTGTGGGCTGGGTGTCAACAGGTGAAAAGCCTCATCTCACTGTGGGAATGGCTTGCACACATGAAGTTGCTGAACTTGAACACCTGACCCAACAGCCATAGGTCGTGAGGAGACCATGCTAGAGAGAGGAGACTGGAGGAAATGGTTGTGGAAATGTGGTAAAACCTGCCATGTATCATAACAGAAGGAAAACATGGTGTTTTTATAATAAGGCACGGTGATTGGGGACAGGTGGAAACCATAGGGTACTTTTGCTGTGTTCTATCCAGGAGAGGCCAGGGCTGGGACAAGTGGCTGCCAACAGGTGGGGAGTTGAGAGGTCTGGAGGGGTGGTAGTCTCCAGGGGTATTCTAGGGCCCCTGGCACTGCTGTGATGGCTGTAGGGAGCTGCAGTATCTTGGTTAGGGCTTCTTGTCCCCTCCTTTCTCTCTTTTTGTCCTTGTGCTACCCTGTCCTTATAACAGAGTCCCCCAAAGCATCAGCATTGCCAGAAGTACTCCTCTTCGTGTATAGCTTGGACCCATCCCAACTTGCCCGGGTGGCTGCGTCAGTGGAGCCCCTCATTCTACACCTACTGCCTGAGCTTGGTGAGGGGAAGTGCTAGCCAGTGCTTGCAAGTGGGAAGGGCAGAGAAGTGGGAGTGCGGAGTCTCCTGGCCCCTACTCTGCCAGAGTGGCTGTTGGTCTTTACAGAAAGCTGCCCCTTTACTGGGTTCTAGCAGATCTTTTGTCCCTGCCAGGCCTCCCCAAATACCCACAACAGATTACTGTCCCTTGCTGATGTCCTGCAAAGCTGGGTTAAGGTTTGAGTGTCCTCAAAACTCATGTTGAAATTTATTTGCCAATGCAATGGTACTGGGAGCTCTTTTTTTTTTTTTTTTATTTGAAAGAGTTACATAGAGGAAGAGACAGAAAGATCTTCCATCCAATGGTTCATTCCTTAAATGGCAGCAACAGCTGGGGCTAGACCAGTGAGAAACCAGAAACTCAGAGCTTTGTGCTGGACTCCCATGTGAGTGGTAGAGAGCCAAGCAGCTGAGCCATCCTCTGCTGCTTTCTCAGGTGCATTAGTAGGGAGCTGGATCAGAAGCAGAGCAGCCAGGACTTGAACTGGTGATCATATGGGATGCTGGTATTGCAGGTGGTGACTTTATCCACGCACCACATTTTGGGTCCCTAGCCCTTTAAGAGGTGATTAGTTCCTGAAAGCCTAGCCCTCCTGGATAGATTAAGGCCGGCCGCCATCTTAGGAGCGGCTTTGTTACTCAGAGAGTGGGCTTCCCAGGAGAGAAAACGCTTGGCATGACGCTTCCTCACCGTCTCGCGTGTGCTGTCTTGCTGTGCAGTATGGTGGCCTTCACCAGAGGCAGATCTTCACACTTGGACTTCCAGCTCTGGATGGTGAGCCAAATAAACTGTAATGTAGAATTAATTCTGCCTGGGGTATAGTTAAGCCCTCCTTACTGTGGGTCCTACATCCGTGGAAAATATGGGTGCTGAGCGCATTGAGACTTTCTCTTCCCATTGTTCTGTACATAACTTGGCAAGGCAATAATCTGCATAGCGTTTACATTGCATCATGGATTATAAATAATCTAGAGACAAGGTGGAATATATGGGAAGGAGGGTATGCATAGGTTACGTGTGAATTGTATACCCATTTATTTAAGGGTCTGGAACACTGTGTTGGTCCCCACACTCCCCAGTACCACTGGCAACCTGGATATGGGCGACAACGCTATTCTGTTTTATAAGAAAGACACTATTTAGTTTTGTAGAGGTTTAACTCTGGGTTCACTGTGTGCGTCTTGGCCAGGCTTCTGCAGTTACACACCTTGAGGTACTTAGCATTAAGTTGGAGGTTAAAATAGATTTGGCAGGTTCCACACCTGGCGTCCTTTACTAATCCGTTGGTCTCAAGCCAGAATGATCTCTATCACCTGAAAGTAGTTAAACATGCAAATTGCTACCAGGTCAGAGGCTGGAGTGGGATCCAGCTGCTTTCCCACCTGAGGAAGGTGAGTTGCAAACCGTACAGCTCATTATCCCAGACTTGCGCCCCGGTGTCCCACCCTCTGCTGCTACACTCGGCTGTGGCGTGGCACAGGGCCCTTGGGGGTTTCTGCTTGTGCTTTGTGCCCACTGTGTTCTAATGTGCTCTTTGCCTCCATCTACCTCCGGGGAGCCAGCAATGACTGTGAGTCTGTGCCATGCACGAAGACAGCAAACACATTTATTAACCATTTGCTCAGTAGAAGTTTAATGGAGAAGTAATTGTTTCAAACAATCAATCCAAAAGGACAGCTCTTTTACAAACAGGTTATGGCAGTGACAAGTCAAACCCCCAGGCTTGAGTTTTGTGTTCTTTCCCCACCTTGCCCCTAGGAGAGGATAGGGGCAGGTGAGACGGAAGGATGGGGCTGTCAAGATGCGAGCTGCGGGGAAGTGGGGTGAGGGATTACAAAAATACACTCTGATGTAGCAATTGGGTTGGGTGCGACATGCCGAGGGGTTGGACGGACAGGGGCTCTGGAGGCCATGCCCGCAGGGTCTGCAGGCTCTCAGTGCCTCGGCAGAGAAGGGGTCCTGATTCCCAGCCGGCAGGTCTGGGGCTGGACACATGCTGTTTTGGGGATCGCTCGGACGCCTGGGGAGACAGAAATGATTAAAATCGTAAACCTGGTGGTTTTTCTGACTTTTTGATTTTATTCACCCAAGTGACTGAACCAACTCAAAGGGAGCAAGGGAAAGCTCTTGCTAGTTCCCAGAACAGCTGGAAGGATTCTTTCACTCCCTCTCCATACCTCCTCCCCTATCAACCAGCAGCACCGACAGGACAAGGGGAGAGCAGTAGGTTGTGACTTGAAAGACATAGCCACAAGCTCCCTGCTGGACACCTCTCACTTCTCCTGATTATTCAGACTCCCTGTGAAGTTAGATCTGCATTTATAGATCTCTTATCTTACAGGTACCCTTCAGACCTGATGTCGCCATTCCCTGGCCATAAACGAGGCTTGCTCATTTTCTTCCCAGCTCTAAAGCTCAGACGGCAGAAACAAGGATAGCAGTGTAGTCAGGGAAAGGGAAGACCGTGCCAAGAGCACGTGGGCCCTTTTCTCCTCTCTGTCTTCGCCTGGCCCTGCATCTTGCGGCTGACATTCCATGTTCCGCATTGGGTCTTTATCTCCTACTTGTGTGAACTGGTCCTGTTCCCTCCCAGCTTTTGAAGGGTAGGCTGGTACTGGGTATCTTAGAAGTTAAGGATGGCTTAGCTAACAGGGGTCTGTTGAGGAAGAAGAACCTCTTGCATTGGTAGGAGAGTGTGTTATGAATGTAAATGAGGCTTAAGCTGCTGCTTCTAGACTAATAGTGTGATCCACACATTGGGATTTTTGGAAGCCCTGCGTGTGTGCAGAAAGGTAACCAAGAGATGGTTGCGGAAGGAGAAGGGAGAACCATCAATAATGCCCAAGTGAACTGGTTAATGTTCCCAGCGTCTCCTTCGAGAACTTTCCATCTTGAGCAAAGCAGCACACAGAAGCTAGTTTAACAGCTTTGTTATAGCGGCGCTCAGAGGGAGGCATAATGAAAATTAGAAAAACCAATTGCCTGGAAAAAGACTCAAATAATTTAAAAAATAAATTGGTTCTTGCTAATGGGACTGATTTTCAGCTGTCTTTAGATAAGGAAAATTATAGTTTATGGTTAGATGTGAGTGTCAGTGCCCCTTTAGGGTAGGTTTGAAAGGAAAGTGTTGATAAGGTTTGAAAGAATTCAGTTTATACTCCTGAAAAGATTCACCATTAGGTACTGTGCAGACTGGCCTAGAAAGAAACAGAGGCCTGTGGCAGATCTAAGAGTCTGACTTCCTGATCAGTGCAGGTTAACTGGGGCCTTCAGAGATGAGTCATTCAGTTAAAATAAACACAGCAGCACTCGCTTCACAACTCAGTACATGTGGCCATTTTTGGTAATTGGCTTGTTACAAATAAGCGCATCTACCTCGCAGTTACAGGCTGCCTTCAACTGAAGTGTGGACGTACCTTGAGAAAGATTAAGAAGACCTTTGACGTACGTGACACGAGACAGCACGTAAAGGCATTTTTCTACTGTGTTTATAAGATGGGAAATCTCCTTTGGGTGGTGCTTTGAAGAGATTTTGATAAACTGACCAGTTCTTTGTATTAGGTCTACAGGCCGTGTAAAGAGAGAGATGGAAATCTGCAGATAACCATATCACTGTATACAAATCAAACACATGTATTTGATGGCTGAGGTTTTCTTAAATTTTCAGAAAATTCCACTCTACTTGTTCCCAATACTATTTGGAGTTATGCATTGGTTGATAGGCTAAGGAGAGAATTGGGGTTGGAATGAGCTTGATGTATCTGCTATGTGTTGCTTTCACCTGTGTGAGCAAGTTTGTAGGGGTAGGGACAGAGAAGAGAGAGAGGAATAAAAGCAAACAGAAGTGACACAAAAATGGTGAATCCCTTGGTCTGTACTTGTCCTGGTTCAGTTAGGCCCAATTCTCCAAGTCCTGTTCCATGTTGATACTGTTGGCTATGAGTAATCATGCTATCTCCAGCAAGATAATAGGGTGGCTTGTGGAAGGGGATGGGGGAGAAAGTATAACTCCTGATCCTAAAAAGACCTGCTTGGCCGGGGAAACTAGGAAAGTTCAATGGTTTCCACGGAGTTCTGTTACACTGAGACATCAGAGGAAAGAAAGGGAGGGACTAGGTAAGCCGTCTTTGAAGATGAAATAGCAACATCATAACCACAGTAATTGGACTCTTCCTGAATGGCTGAGAGTGGGCTCAGCTATTGGTTTTCAGTGATAACATATCTGGGGGAGTGGGGAGCTGAACAGTTGCCATGGCAACCAGATGGGGCTCCGTCCACTTAACTGTCCCCATAGTAACTAAGCTTCTGGAGAGCTATATAGGCATTAGTTATCTTAACTTACTACTATTATCCCCATGGTAACCAATCTCTAAGTGGGAGTGGTCAGCCTCAAGAAGCAATCACAGGAATGTTTCTGCTCCCCAGAGAAAGGATGGCCCAGAGTCAGATAAATTTCATATCCAGGTCTCCTAGGAGATGAACTCCTGGTGGGTAGGTGGATATGTGTGTGTACACACTCTTGCACACACTCTTATGTGCTTCAGGCTTGGGAGGAAGGCTAAGACAGGTGGGAGGATGAGGTCTCTTGCCCCCAGCTCTTTGGTACCCAACTCACTCATGGGTTGCAGTGGCCGGTGTAGCTGGGAGGACGCCCCTTCAGGCTACACATTACCATTCTGGTGTAGGGTGCGCCGGCGCTGACTGGACTGCATGCTCAGGACCAGGTACTGCCTCATAAACTCACTGAACCGCTTCTGATTAGCCAGCTTCCTGGCCGACTTCCGGGCCCCCGTGAAACCCCCAAACCTCTTCTGCAGTTGCTTCTGCTCCACGTCTCCAGCCTCAAGCGTGCTGGGCTCTGTCTCTTCCTGCCTTCGAAACAGGCTCCTGACTCGGGGCATCCTTCGCAGGTGCTGCATCTCAGAGGCTCTGGGCTGGTCAAGAGCAGTAGTCACATGCTCTGGGTCAGCAGGGCTGAGCTTCCAGGAGCCCTTGGTCATGATCTTGGTGCATGGAGTCCAGAGAGGGCTGGGGAGGGCCTTCTCTTCACACTCGAGGATACACGTCTGAAAACACAGGTGGGAGGAAGGGAAGAGTGGCAGAGATACATCAATCACATATGTTCTGTTTTTTAGGTTCACAGATTGTCAGTTGAAATAACACAACCATCTGGCCAAGCTCTTCCATTTTACCAATGAAGGAACCAGAACTTAGAGAGGTTAGGTTAATTTACCCCAGCACACAATAAGTTAATAGTAGAATAGGTATACTACAACGTGTTATATCCTTAGCTTTTTGGGTCCAAGCACAGCTTATGAGTGGCACCCATAAAGAAGACTTTTATTTTGTTCCCTCATTGGGTCATGAGTCAGATTGGTTAAAGAAATTGGGGATGTGAAAGTATGAAGTTTAAAGTCTAAATGTTTATTTTAAGGTCACCATTTAAAGGTCAACCCTGGTGTTGGTAATTTTTCATCTGATGTACATTTATCAACTGTGTGTGCATAATTGACAGCAAATGAGGACCAAGACTCCTGGGGAGGTAGGCCAGTTGATGCAGAGGGTCAATATTGCCTTCCGGCTTTAGGTGAGCAGGAGATACTGTCATCTGATGTGAGTCAAGCACCTCCCCTCTTCTACCAAACCTCCATCTCTTCCTTCCCTCCTGTCTGGGTACCAGTTCCTTCTAGTTGAATTTCCCATCCTGGTCATGACATTTCTCCATTCCCCTTGCCCAAACTGGTTTTGACCTTCAACCTCCCCCCAACCTTTTCCTTCTCTGATTGGAGTTTTTAGAAGCTTCTGCCTCCATCTGTTCTTCCTGTATGATGGCTTGGCTTGGTGCCAGCCTTAGCCAGTTAGAAGCTCTGTTTTAGTCTGACCTTGCCATCGGGGCTGGCCAGCAGCTACTTAGCCCTTACTCATACCTCATAACTTTCACCTGCATGTCGGGCACCTTCTGTGGCCAAGACTGCCAACAACCCACCTCCAATCATCCCTTTCTTGCTGAATATTGTTTTCTTCTGAAGGCACCATATACTGCATAGTGACCTATAGTCAGAAGTGGCCAATGATAAAATAACCAAGTGGGTCTTTTAGAAAATCAAGAGGGAAACTTGGTGGAAAGAACATTTGATTCCCCATCTCTCTCCCTTTCCTCTAGCTTCCTGCTTAGAACAGGAGTATTTTGGTTGGTGTCCCACCAGCTACCTCGAGGATGCCTCAGAAGATGGAAGTCTTGTGCTGGATGTCACATGAGCATGGCAGAACATAAAGGGGACTGAAGTCCCTGGCCAACCGGACTGTCCATTTCCTTGCTGCTTCTTGAGGAATGTGATCTTTGTCTTAAGCCACTGTTACCTTAGGTTTTTATTACTAGCAAGTGGATTTAATTGCTAGCTGGTATGTAAGAGGACTTTAAAATGTGTTTTGAAATATGGAAATAAGAAAGTTTGGGGACCACTGTTCTGGTGCAGCAGATTGAATTGCCTTTTGCAATGCTGGTATCCCATGTGGAAGCTCTGCCTGGAGTCCCGGCTGCTCCATTTCTGACCTAGCAATGGAAAATGGCACACATATTTGGGTCTGTGCCACCCATGCAGAAAACCCGGTAGCTTTCATGGCTTCAGCCTGGCACAGCCCTGGCTGTCATACCTATTTGGAGAGTAAATCAGCAGATGGAAGATATGTCTCTTGATCTTTCTGCCTTTCCATCTCTCTGTCATTTTGCCTTTCATATAAATAAGACTTTTTAAAAAGATACTTGCTTTGGTGCAAAAATGTGAAAGCTAGACACACATTGTTTTCTATTTTCCATGAACTTTTTAAAGACACTTTTTTCCTTCCCCACCTTGCCTCTACTCCTTGGTGTAGTCTCGCCATCTCTGTCTCTGATTCCTTATTTCCCTGTGCATACTTTTTATTTTTAGGGTTTTTTTTTTTTACTGATTGAAATGCAGATTAGCAGATAAATAGGGAAGGAAAAATTCTCCATCTGTTGGTTCACTTCCCAAATGTCTACAACAGCCAGGGCTTGGCTGAGCCAAAACCAGGAGCCAGGAGTTGCCTCTGTATCTTTTACACTGGTGGCAGGGACCCAAGTACTTCAGCCATCATCAGCTGCTTCCTAGGATGTGCGTTAGCAGGAAGCTGGGTTGGAGACAGAACTGGGACTTAAGCCAATCATTCCAATATGGGATGTGGGTGTCCCAAGTAGGGGCTTAGCCCACTGCATACAGTGATTCCTCAACCTTGGGCATATCTTTAGCTGCCACTATCCATCCACTCAGGAAAGTCTCCCCCCTCCTTCCCATGCCTTCTTTCACTGCCCAAATACTCTTGGGGTACAGTGGTCCCCACTGACCTCTCCATCTCTAATTTTTGCCACTTGAATCCTTGTAGACTCTGGTAGAATATCCTGCCTGTATTTATACCAATACCTTGCCAAATGGTTCAGTATTCTGTGTTGTTTCTGAAATAGCTCCAAACCCTGAGAAAAGTGTTCAAGTTCCTATCATTTGGTCTGTAACCCCTCTTAGGCATATGGGGCTGCTCCTGGTAAATTAACATATCAAAGCTTTTCCCGGGCCTATGCCTTTCCTCACCATCCCCTCTGATGACTGATTTTTGTTCATCTTTTAGTTCCCAATCAAGCTCCATGACTGCACCTTGATGGTATCTTCCTCTAGTTCTCTGGTAAGAATTGTCCTCACCTGCTTCGGTGCTGTCATGAAATTTTCTATGTTCTTACGGAACATTTAATGTTTAATATGACTGCAGTAACTTCCACATTAGGGATCACATCTTATTTGTGTTGGAGTCTTTCAGAAATTTTTCTGGCAAAGCAGTAGAATGGCAGTAGAAGCCATCATTGAACTGGATCTGAGTTAATCAGGACATTATATTATGTTGGCTAGAAGTGAACAGGAAGTAAATGAAAAGGAATGGGAGAGTCCCTGGGAGAACTGGAGTTGCTGCCACTCGCAATCAAGACTTTCCTCTTCGCCTGGTGTGCACATTCTCTGGCAGCCTTTGGCACCCAGATACTGCAACTTCTTGTTTCCTTGGTTACTCACCTAATCCATTAAAAAGGGTTCTTAACCTTTGTGGGGTCATGGGCTTTTTTGAGAATCTCATGTGAGACATAGAACCACCCTTTGGCCTTGTCAACACACTCATGTGTGTATACACTTTGTGGTTTGTAGATCTTGTCCATTGGCCAGGCCCCTTCCTGAGCTGTAAGATATCCTACAGGAAGAGTCTGCCTGCCTCCATGCATCAAAAAATCAGATACAAAGTGGATGTGGCTTGGAGCCTGTCAACAAGGGAAAGGGAATCTATTGCTGAAGTCAGGCAGCAGTCACATCAGGAGGGCATCTTAACCCTTCAACAGAGCGTCTCAGTGGGGAGGGCCGTCAAGTCACACCCTAGCCCCAGTGTCCATCCACATAAGTCAGTGTCGAAATCAATCACTCTGCTCTTTACAACACGAAACTTCAAGACTCAATTGACTGCCTGAAGAGTACAACAACAGGTTACGATTTCGTTTTACAAAGAGATGAACGATTTAAGTCTGCAAAGCTCAGATCCTTCTGGTATCTGCAGGTAGGCAAAGCTCTGATGTCATTCAATTTGTGCATGCTACATCAAGATTCAGTAATGCGACCCAAATGGTGCTTGTAAATACCAGTGTAACTTAGATTTCTTGAGGGCCCAGGTGGGATAGCTCCTATTCAACTACCTTTGTATGCTTACAGTATAATTAGAGATGAGTGTGACAATAAGAATTCATTACAAACAAAAGGTTAGAGTCTGATGTGAATTTTGCTCAGTGTTTCCTGAAGTGAAGAGGAGAAGGATGCTGTGTTCTTGAGAAGACTTTTCTCCATCCTTCATGACATGTCCGAGCAGCACTCTGCCCTGAGCCCACAAGCTGACTTGGATGGTCATGGTGGCCTCTGCTGGTGCTTGAAATGCAGTTTTTTGGAGCATGCCTCTTCCATCTAGCTTTACCCTCAGAGAGGCTTAGTAGATGGAGCCTAGCTGTTGACAGCTATTTGTGGCTAATGCACACGCAGCATAGATTTGTGGATAAACTACTTTTTCATACCCACCATGTCATTGTGTATGAAGAATGATGGGGTGGCTTCTGTAGATGGGGAAGGCTGACTTAGGAACAATGGTGTTTCAGACTTCTGAAATGGTCTATGAAGTCAAGGATGGAGCTTAGAGAAATTTCATTTTTAGCAATCAGAGCAGATGATTTTTGTGGCTGAGTCACCTTTTGGGAAACCCTCAAGAGATGGTACTTTGAGGGAGGAAAAAATCCCTCAGGAGCCTGCTGGCCTAAGATTCCTTTAGAGGGTCACTTATCCTTGGCCGCCTCCTGAAATACTTTGGACAAAACCTGAAAGGAGAGGATCGGTGTGCAGTATATTCTTTCAGCTCATAATCCTATTGGGTTAGGTTGGTACTCTATGGAGGTGGATCTCAACTGGGAACAACTGGGCCCAGTGTTGGAAGAACATCTATGATTGTCATGCCAGTGCGTGTATGTGTGTGTGTCTGTGTGTGTTCATGTCCTGGTGGCACCTAGAAGGTTAGGGGTACTGACACAGGATAGCTCCCACAACATATCATCCCATGCAACATGTCCATAGTGGCAAGTTGAAGAATCCCTGCTCTCCAGCATGCACAGGCACCCAGGAAGCATAGGGGAGCCCTGAGAAAGACCACGGAAGAATTGAATTTTGGAATTGATAAGGACCTTGGGGCATAATTGTCTTGATCCTTGCTGCATAAGAGCTCCCAGGTGGCTGTTGACTTGTTTCATACCTTCAGTTTACAGAGTCAGGTGAAAGAGTTAAATCTAGAGGTGGTGAGGTCTTTGAGCCACTGGGTTGCTAAGCCCAGATGGTAATTAGAGTCTATGTCAATCAGAATGAAATTCTGCAATCCAACCAGATGCCGCAGTCCATACCCAGACTGGACACAGTGTCAGATAAATTAGATACTAACAAAATCATCTCCACTTTGGATTGAGGACAAATAGGAGAAATCCAAATGCACAATAGCATTTACAGCACCAGCTGGGCATGTAGACTTCATGCCTAACCCTCTGGTCTGTGGAGCTCACCAGCCTCTCTTCAAGAGAGGGGTTAATGGCCTGTTAAGTGAGCCGGGCCCATTTGTGCAGCCCACGCTGATGCCATTGCTATAATAAGCCTGAGCGTGCAGGAGCATCTGGAGTCTCAGACTGGTGCCAAATTGTTCTATAAAGCTGGGCCTGGGAAGATACTGAGCAAGGGGCCATGAGGATGACTGGGATCAAAGATGAAGAAGCTGAGTTAGTGGCCCTTGAGATAGGCAAGTCATAGCCCAGACACACTGGGAGCTATTGTCTCTAAAAGGTCCTGCTAGAATACCTGTGGGGCATCCAACAGCATAGCAGAAAATCACACAAGGAAGTCCCATTGCAAGCTGCCCACTAAGCATTTTTGTGGAATGAAGATAGGAATAGAATTGCCGGAAAGCAGTCTCCTGCAATAGCTTCAGAAAGTCTTAAATAAATGTCCCTAATCTTTTTCTTGGGATGGTTGTTTAGTGTTTATCTCTCAACTTGGTGAATTTTGGTTTTCTGCTTGAGCTGATGGGGTAAGCACCATTCAGACTTAGGTGAAAGGCCTGGGCATGGCTTTGGGTTTGGGTATGGGAGTTATTTACCAATCAAAATTATACTCTAATTAACAAGCTAACCATATGTGGAGTAGAAGTAGGAGAATGCTTGATGGAGCTAAGGGTTCAGAGAATGCTAGGACTAACTCAGGATTATGTAATCAATGGACAGACTGGGGAGGTGACCCTTGCCGAGGTATGAGTCACTCTGTCATCTGCAGAGTGGTCACGCTGAAGGGCTGCCAGAATTAGAAACGAGATATGGCTGCCATGGCCTTGGGCATTTCATTAAACTTAAAAGTAAGTTGAGTGAATACAAGTGAAAACAAGTAGGCAGCCCGGTCCTGGACAGGATCTGCAGGTGGGTTGAAGGGCTTCCTACTGATTGTGAGGTTTTTACAGGTCCATTTTCTGACATTCTTCAAAGCAGTAAATGAGGGGTGTTTTCTAGAGCCCATGGTTTAGAATGAGCTCCAAATCCTTTACCATCTCTGCTGTGGCTGTGGACGATGTATCTAGTAGTTGACTAAAGGTCTTACAGTTTCCAAAGGGCATGGTTGTTGAGGCCTGGGCTACGTGTTGGGAGACCCAAACCAATCTGCAGAGGCAGCACATGCCTTATGAGAGAAACTGCTAGGCACACGTAACAGCGGGCTGCAAAGGAACAGGGGACAGAATTTATTGGTGGCAGGTACAGAGGAATCAGTAAAATTCTCTTAGGGGGTGAAGCTGAATTGGGGCTTTGAAGTGTGGGGTGGGATTTATCTGATAAAGACATCAGATAGGAAGAGAGTGTGGATAAGATAGGACAGGAAGGGAAGGTGATATTTTTTTGGGGAACCATGGAAAGTGATTAAGAGTGGGGGCTACAGCCCAGGGGATGGGAGGGTGAGAATGCACCTGGGGGAGTTACCTGCAGCTGGCAAGATTGAAGACCAGGGTGTCTGGGTGCAATCTCAGAGTGTGAGAACACAAGGAAGGAAGAAGCAGGGAGTCTTGGCAATAACTTATGTAAGGGGGAGGGGAGAAGATGGGTAGTCGGAGGGGAGAGGGGCACCCAGAACAGGAAAGAGAAGACCAAGGCTTCCGGAGGGAGGGCCGCCCTTAGAGGAAAGCATGATGAGTAAGAATTCAGAATGGGTAAACTTTGAATGTATTATCTGTGGATGTTCCTTATGATTGGTTATTACAGATCAGAAAATAGGCTCACAAACCACTAAGTAGGGCCAGGGGAGCTTGGCGCTCAGATCTGCCCAGGGTGTGCCTGCTCATCCGCTATCTGAAGCTGGGAGATGCCATGGGGCATTAGTCCAGGGGGAATATTGGGTTCTAGTTTTGTACTCTGGCCTTAAGGAAGAGCAACTACTTTTTGGTTGTTTCCCAAGGTTGAGGGTTTTGAAACACGACATCTTTGAAAAGTAGCTGATTTGACTTCAAAGGAAAAACAACTGAATCAGACTGGACTGAACAGGAGAAAACACTGTTTAGACTGGACATTACAGTAGTAGAGGCAGCAGTTTATTGAAGGAGTAAAAACACAAAATAGATGTAATGCTAGATTTACACCTGAAGTTGGGGATTTAAAATATAGGAGAGAAGTTTTGTACTTGCATGTTCCTTGTTGAATTATCTGCAATATCAAAAGTGGTGTATTCAGATTCAAGGAGGCTGTTAAAGAAGTCATAATGCATGGAGTGGCAGGAGGAAAGAACCTGATGTTTAATAGTCTGGGACCCTAATAGACTAGAGAAAGTTTAGGATTCTTTCCTCTTCCTGGTGAAGTGAAATGGGATTTTAAATTTATTGTTGCTTCTTTAAATTTGACAAATTCCCTAAAGGGACTATGTTATTTTAACCCTGAAAGCAACAGGACAGTCTGGGTGGGAAGAGGGAGGGTCCCAGGTTTTCTGGCTGGAAGATGCAGCTTAGTGCGCCATGGGTTTACCAGTGGTCCTGTCATACTGGACTGGCCCTATGACCCCCAGCAGAGGCCTGAGCCCCGCCCCACTCACAGTGGGAGGAAGGGTGATGGACGGAGGCGTCGAGCCCCTTGGCCTCCAGAGTCCTACCTCCATGTTGAAGCTGTCCAGGGCTGGGTGGAGCTTCTCCTGGCAGGTCAGACAGTCCCTCTGACAACTGCTGAACACACTGGAGAGGAGGCTGAGCAGCAGCAGGTCCCCGAGCAAGATTTTCATGTTGCAGGAGCAGGAAGCCAGAGGCTGAAACACATACATAAAGATGCATGGCAGTGAATAAAACCATGGTCAAGGGACTGGTCAAGGCTGACAACTCCAGCTGGGGGAGATGCAGGAAAGACACTTCCCAGTGGGAGTTGTTCCAGGGACACGAGATCTACTTCCCAGAGGGGAGCAGGTTGCCCTGGCCTGTCACCCAGACCTGACACTGATACTCAGGCTCGTGTCTGGGTCCTGTGACCCCTGTCCCCTCTGTGAGGTGCTGAAGGCGTATTTCCTGGAAGTGCAAGGCATCACCTGGCTGACTACTAGGAAGATGAAACAAGGGGGCAGGTGGGGAATTTGTGCACAAGGAAATGAGATGTGACATTTATTAAAGATTTGTGTCATTGGTCTCATCCTCCTCAGTCTCCTACCTGGGCCAGGGACTCCCCATGTCCCCAGCATCTCTCTTCCTGGGATTTGTTGCACGTTCTGCCCATTTCTTCTGTTTGATATAAGCTGGCACTGTGGTCTGAATGTTTGTCTCCCCTCCATTCCTATGTTGGGACCCTGGCATTTGGGTTGTATGGATCTTGGGTTTAGTGTCCTTAGAAAATAGGGCTGCTGGAGATGCCGAATCCCATCTAGCCTGTGAAGAACACGTGTGAAGGCGATATCAATGAAGCAGAACTTTAACCGTAGACTCTACAGTCTCCAGACTGGTTAAGATAAATTTGTTTATAGGCTGTGCAGTTTGAGGGCTTTTCTTACAGCTGCCTGAGAAGACATCTGGCTTCCTCCTCTCCTTTGTATTCTACGCCAAGCAAAAGACCTGGCATGTGGAATTATGGACAAAGGAACAGAGCTATTCTAACACAGTAGCTTTGGTTAGACCAGTATTTTTTCACCTTTTTTGCAGGGTTGCCTGAAATGCATATAGTTTATCCTGTCCTTTAGAAACACATAACCTCCTGAATCATCAGGAACTGCATTGGTTGGGGTCCCCATAGAACTATCTTTACTTGGAGGAGTCAGTGGTAAGGGGAACAAGAGATTTATGCATTTGAATTCTGTGTTTCACTGTATCTAAATTATCACTTAATAAAGAATTCAGTGTAGAAAAGCATAACTAATCTCCCTTACTTCCTTTTCATCAGACTATGTGAGAGGATTTATGACATGGCTGTTGATATGCTATGACCAAAAGGGGTCGTGTTATACATGCAGAATCTTGGGTTTTCACTCCATAACCAATGAAGCAGCATCTGTGTTTTTAGCAAGATTCTGGGGTGAGCTACACACGTGCCAAAGTTTGAGAAGTGTGGAGGTCAACAGGATGCGAAATGGGGCAAGCCACCAGGAGGAAGGCAGGGATTGGTGACCAAAGCCATCCGATGGCTGTGGTGGGTGGCCGCTTGAACCCTTCTTGTGCATTGCCAATCATTTCCTAATAGGAGGATGAATATAACGGGGCTCAGGAAATCTGCCTGCTAATGACAATAAGTAAGATTGCTGAGAGAGCATCTGGGAGACCCAGACAACTGTGTTTTCAACCACACAGGGGATGTGGGACCATGGACTGTGAGAAGCTGGTGAGCAGAGGGGAGCACTGGAGCTACTTGCCACACTCCCAAAGGGATGCTGAGTTCAGACGGACTAGGCTAAGAAACACTGAACACAAATATCTATGTGAATGAACGCTGCATTTTTATTTTGTTCCCAAAGGCCAATAGTGTTTTAGATGAGATTTATTGCTTTGGTTAGTGTAATCACCTCCTAATTAGTAATCCTAATGATTTGGCCTCTCTCCAAACTATCTTCAAATCTATTCACCTCATACTTAAAGTAGTTCTATTGATCCTCATGGATGTCAGAAGGAATTCCAAGGATGTGGCCCTAGCTCCCTCCTGCTTCCTCTCCTAGTACTAATTGGTGGATGGTGTTTAGTCCTGCTGAAGACAGGATGACCACTTGACCAGTCTCCTGCTGCCTTTGTCTCTTGGCTCCTGCTGCTTCCCCTACCAAGGATACCCTTTTCTGGATGGTCTCTTCTGGGATGCCATCTGCAGCACCGGTCCACGTGAGATCATTCTCTGCTGCTCTGGCATCTCAAAACAGCAAGCCACAGTGGGCAGTCCAGGCCTCAGGTGTCTAAGCTGTCACACAGGCACAGCAGGCCTGTGCTAGAGTTGATGGGAAGCCTGTCTTCTCTGTGGTTAGCCTGGGCTCAGGTCCAGTTCTGGGGCATACTCTCTGTCCACAGTCACTCTGATGTAAAAACGTGACATCAATAGGCTGAGTCTAGGGGGAGGCATTTGACTTGGCAATTAAAAGAATTTTATTGATTAGGATTCTATGGAGAGTCACATGTCTCCTATCAGAGTACCTGGATTCAAGTCTGGACTTGGCTTCCAGTTCAAGTTTCCTGCTACTATGCACTTGGAGGCTGCAGGTGATAACCCGGGATCCTTACCACTCATGTGGCACATCTGGTTTGAGCTCTTGGCTGCCAGCTTTGGCTCAGGCTCCGTTATTGGGGACAGTTGGGGACTGGATTGGTTGGTCAAAGACCTCTCTGTTTTCTGTCTCTTTCTGTGTCCCTGCTTTTCAAATAAATAGATAAGAATTTTATTTATCTCATATCACCACTGTTGAATTCATGTTTGCAAGCAAAGTAGCACCTGACATATCAGTACTATAGAAAAACTTATACGACAAAGAGCTCAGGGCTTGCACAATGGCTCAATGGCTAAATCCTTGCCTTGGGAGCACCGAGATTCCATACGGGTTCTAGTTCATGTCTCAGCTACTCCTCCTTCCATCCAGCTCCCTGTTTGTGGCCTGGGAAAATAGTAGAACATGGTCCAGAGCCTTGGGACCCTGCACCTGCATGGGAGAAGTTTCTGGCTGTGAACTGTCTCATCTCTGGCCATTGTGGCCATTTGGGGAGTGAACTGGTGGATGGAAGATCTTTGTCTCTCCTTTCCAATAAAATTAAATAATTTTTAAAAAGAGCCCAGCACTTGGCACTGGCTCTAAAACATTTTCTCTCCCAGTCCTTGGCACTCTGTGATGTCCTCTTGGGCTTAGGTGTCTAATTTCCCCATGAGCTGTGACTTCCTTGGTGAGGGGGCAGTGACCAGGTCTATATTTCTCTGCATTCTGAGCACCCAGCATGGGACCAGGCATTTAGGCAGAGTTAAAAGCTACACAGAGGATAGTATCCAGGAGCTCTTCTCCTTTGCCTCGGCAAGGGGGAGTTGAGGCGTGCCTAAGCTTATCTGTTTCACTGGGGATCTGTGACATCATGGCATGGGGGCTGCTTCAGGACCCACGTCACCAGCACAGGATCCACCGCTTTGAGTGGAGAGAGGTGAGAACCAGTTTTGTTCTGGAGCAAGGTGAGGTGCCATCTGAAGTCAGACCCCTGATGGTGTGTTCTGGCACAAGACTGGTGGCAGACAATGGCCATCGGCTATGATGGGGATGAAGTTAGGTGCTAGATCTGTGCAGGGTGATTAGGTATTGGTAGAAAAGCCACAGCAGCTTTTCTTTGTTGTGTATCTCAAATTCCAAACAGCTGTTGCAGACAGCAAATATTCTAGAACACAAGCAAGGCTTAACCAGTACAGTAGTGCCTTTTTTGTTATTTAATCTGAAAATCACGTTTACATTTCTTACTTGACCAGATTCTGTCAATTTCAATCAGGAGACATTTTTTGTACAATTTACCCATAAAGGCATGTCTGTACCCGCGGTGGCCACACGATGGCAGTAGCTGCATTGGCACAGAAGCCAAGGCGAACGGGACGGCTCCCTTCCTTTCTAAGGCAAGGTTGCCATACCTGGTCTGCACCTGGCCTGAGCTGATGGGTCATGATGGAGGGCAATGAAGTGCTGCCCAGCTCAAGTTTTCTGTGAACTTTGTCATCTGTGGTAGATGGCATGTTCAGGAAGGCCTGGTGGTTAGACTGGTAATTGTCATGTTAATTCCATGAGATTAAGGAGGGAGGTTCTGGGCCACCTCACTCATGTTCTGTTTGATAGCCTTCCTATAGACAACACGTGGGGCCCCTTTGTGTTGGCACGTGAGGAGACCTTACCAGATCTACTTGGCTCTAGTTGGGCCCTCCCTGCTAGTCCATGGCACACCTCTCTTTTCCACTGTCAGTTAAAATTTTATTTATTTGAGTGGCAGGCAGAGAGAGGAGAGAGAGAGAAGTGGAGAGAGACATAGATATTGATTGAGATCTTCCATCTGCTGGTTTATGCCTCGGGTGCCCTTGAACTCAGTCCAGGACTGCCACCAGGGTCATAGGGACTCAAGTACTTGAGTCCACATTGCTGCTTCCCCAGGCCTGCATTACAAGGAGGCTTGTGTCAGGATCTGGAGGTGGGTATCATACCCAGGTACCCCAACATGGCCTATGGGCATCCTAAGCACGGCCCTAACTGCTAGCTAATTTCTGCCACTGTGTTGTGAGTGTGTGTTTCCTAACTTCCTGTATGTTTAAATTTACAGAACTCGTTAGAAATGCACACAGTAATGGTGCACATTTGTGGGAGACATTGGTGATTAGTATTTCTCCCTAAACATTTATCAATTCTCTGTGCTGCAAATCTCTGTACTCTTCCAATTCTCACCTGTAGAGGGCGACTCTTCCTGTGTAAAAACCATCCCTAGTGAAGGCTGGTCATTTCACAGGGTCCAGCATGGTAGCCTAGTGGCTAAAGTACTTGCCTTGCACATGCCGGGATCCCATTTGGGTGCCAGCTCTAACGTTCCTCTCAGTCTCTCCTCTCTGTGTATCTGACTTTTCAACAAAAATAAAATAAATCTTAAAAAAAAGAAAAAGAATGCATGGCAGCACCGGCTCCTCTCAAGGATGCTTTGCCAAGTTTAAATGAGATTAACGCAAACGAAAGCTCCCGATAGAGAAGCATATCATAAAGGGGACAACAGTTTGATACTTTTTAATTCACACACCTGGTACAATTGTGTTCTAGATCAAATTGGA